TATACATCCTGAAACAATAAAGCTCCTTAAAGGAAACATAGGGGAAACTCTCCAGGAAGTAAGACTGGGTACAGCCTTCATGAATATGACCCCAGAAGAACAGGTAACCAAAAGAAAAATAAACAAGTGGGATTATATCAAACTCAGAAGCTTCTGGACAGCAAAAGAAACAATCAACAGAGTGAAATGACAACAAACAGAGTTGGAAACAATATTTGCAATATATACATCTGACAAAGCATTAATATCCAGAATATACAGGAACTCAAACAACTTTACCGCAAAAAAACAAGGAACCCAATTAAAAAAATGGGCAAAGGAGCTGAATAGACATTTTTCAAAGGGAGACATATGAATGGCCAACAGACACATGAAAAATGCTCAACATCATTTAGCATTTGGGAAATGCAAATCAAAACCATTCTGAGATAGCATTTCACTCCAGTTAGAATGGCTAATATTGAAAAGACCAAGAATGGTAAATGCTGGAGAGGTTGCGGGAAAAAAAGAACTCTTGTACACTGTTGGTGGGACCGCGAAATCATGCAGGCTTTATGGTAAATGGTATGGAGGTTCCTCAACCAATTACAGAAAGATCTACCATATGTCCCAGCTATTCCACTACTGGGAATATACCCAGAGGAATGGAAATAAACATGCTGAAGGGATACCTGTACTCTAGCGTTTACTGCAGCACTATTTAAGTAGCACTATTTACAACAGAGTTGGAAACAGCCCAAATGTGCATCATCCGATGAGCGGAGAAGGAAACTGTGGTATATCTACACAATGGAAAACTACTCTGCTATAAAGAAGAATGAAATACTAACATTCGCAACAACATGGATGGCTTAGAGAAAATTATATTAAGTGAAACAAGTCAGGCATAAAAAGAGAAATACCACATGTTCTCACTTATTTATGGGAGCTAAAAATAAATAAATAAATAAATAAACACACAAACAAAGGGTGGGAGGGGGGGAGAAGACACAACAATCACAACAATTCCTTGAACTTGTTAAGACAAGTGAACAGATATGATATGTGGGCAGGAGGGGAGAGAGGGAGGAGGGGAAAGAGGAATGGGTAAAGGGTCACAAAAATCAACTACAATGTATATTGAGAAGTTAAAATAAAAGAAAAAAATGTGAGTACATAACATTTTAATCTTTCTTGAATTCTGTATAATGCCTGAAACTCAGAGGATTTAAAAAAAAAGATTGCCTTTAGAGCTATCTGAGGACTTGGACCCAACCCCCACACCAGTGTGCAGAGGACATGGAACATGGAGTCAAAGTACCTGACTCACCAACTTTGAGATTTAACACCTGCCCTTCTGGATTTTGGACTTGTCTGGGAACTGTTACACCTTTCTTTTGGCCTATTTCTCCCTTTTTGAACACGAATATGTACCCTGTGCTTGTCCCACCACTGTATCCTGGAAGTAGATAACTTGTTTTGATTTCACAGATGGAACTTTGAACTTTGGACTTCTGAGATGAAACAAGTTAAGACTTTGGGGATCGAATAAATGTATGTGTATGTGAGAAGCATGTGAGTTTTGGGGGGTCAGGGGCAGGAAATCCTATCATGGTGACTGAAAGGTGGAGACTTGAAGAGGTGATTAGATTGTAAGACCATGCCACAGTGAATGGATTAATAATAGTGGTCAGGGGCGTGGTTCTGAGGACTTTAAAAGGGGAGCATGAAGTGTCTGTCCCTCTCTCTATTCCACCATTTTCTGCCATGTGAGATCTCTGGGTCACTGTCACTACCAGCAAGGCCTTCACCAAATATGTTCCCTGAACTTTGTACATCCCAGCCTCTGAAATTGTAAGCAATAAATTTTGTTTTCTTACAAATAAAAAAAAAAAAAGGCTAGATCTAAGGATGGGAAAAATTAAATGGTTTGTTCAGAATCACAGAGAAAATAATTTTTAAGGCTTTCAGGATTTTGTGACCAGTGATTATGGTCACTAATAACTAGTATTTTTGGTCATGAAAATATTTGTATATAACTAAAACCAAATTGAGATGTACTCAACAATAGACCCATAAATTAGTCATGTTACATTAATTTCTGCCTTTTCTATGAACAATTTAGTATTTTCTGTGTGATCAAAATAAAATCTCTGAATGGGAATAAAAAATTATCTTCTTTATATCTTAATGGCAGAAAATATGACTTGCCCCATATAGATAAAAATATAAGATGATAATACAACTGGAGCATACTCACACAAATAAAACCAAATACATATGGTGGACAGTAGAAATAGCATGGAAGTAGGTGTAGGGTAACAAAGACTCTCATCGCACATCTGCTAATATCTAGCTGTGTGACCATAGCCAAGTTACTTAACTTCTCTGGACCTCAATTTTTCTCAGTGTAAAATGAAGAGATTATTGTTATGTCTAAAGTAGCATTTCCCAGACTGTCCTAGAGAACACTTTCTATGAGATGTCAATAGATACTGAGGGGGTAAAGGAAACAAAAAAGGCTTCCATGGTCTAATAAATTTTGGAAATACTGCATACTACCAAGAAACTGATGCTATCAACACAGAATTATGGCCAAAGTTGGCCAGTTTGGTTGGTGGCCTCTCAGATATTTCCCAATATTCCCCACATTACAGCATTCATGATCTTTTATAATCTTCTCCGCTTGGGTATGGGCTGGATTTAGTGACTTGCTTGTAATGAAGAGAACATGGCAAGAGTGATGAGATGCTACTCCCGAAGTTAAGTTAGGAAAAGACTGTGGCTTCCACTTTGGGTGTCTGCTGTCAGCTGCCATGATGTGAGGCAGCCCTGTGGAGAGGCCAATGTAGGTGAGCTTGGAAGCAGATCTTCTGAGGCCTGTCAACAGCCATGTGAGTGAGCTTGGGGGTAGAGGGGGTAGATCATCCCCTAGTAAAGCTTTCAGATGAGACTGTGAGGCTTGGCTGACATACTGATTACAGTCTTGTGAGAGACCCTGATCTAGAACCACCCACCTAAGTTGCTCCCAGATTCCTGATTCACTGAAACTGGCTAATAAATGTTTGTCATTTTCATTTGTTAAGTGTTAGGGTAATTTGTTACACAGCAATAGATAATTAATACATCCAAACACTTGGACCTGGTTTTTTATTGTTTTGTGGGGGTTTTTTTTTTTTTTGCCATTGTTGTACCCCTTCAAATGTTCCCAAGAATATTATACAAAGAAGGAACAGCAGCAATGTATTAATATAACTAAGCCAATACATAATATAACCACCAATGTTTAGCTCTGGTAAAGCTGGATTGGAACATTTAGCTTAGTTTCAAGGCCTAATGCCTTCATATTGCATTCCATCCAAAATCCAATTCATAAGGCCACATGGTACAGAGAACCCTATACATGAACAAGCTTAAGGGAAGAAACATAAAGAGCTTACCACTACAGTTGGGTCTGCTAAGAATTGAGTCTTTCCCGGTCTTTCTCACAATGTAGGTTATGTTTCACTGTGTCTATCTATTTTAATAGATAGACACTCTGTCTGCTAGTGAACATGGATAAGTCAATGTCCTATACCCTAAGCAATCAGATTAATATTACTCCCTGAGACGACTAAAGGCACCAAGGCAGGTAGAAAGCCTTTCTCTATTTCACTCACTCACTTATAATGAACTACAAATTCCCCCAAGAAAGAGTCCCATGCTCAAATCAATTTGAGAAATACTGCCTAATTTATCATCCTGTTGAAGATGTTCAATGTGCATTACACGTTAAAGACTCTGAGAAGTTCTTCAGTAAAGATAGCATTTCTCCAACATTTGACAACTAAACCTTTTTGTACAAATACCCCTTAAAATTACTGTATGATTGTACTCTAACAGTTTGAGAAACTTCTGACAACTTACCTTGCCAAGTTGCTGAAGAAATTTCAAGTGTCTCTCTTCAAACTGTGTAGGGTCCCTGTCTTCGAAAGCACCAGAAAGCCCGAGGGCAACTATCCTCATATTTGGTAACATATCATTTTCTGTTAATAGTTCATAATCTGGAGAAATAAAGAATATTACCACCTTAAGTTGGCAAATACATTCTCTGGGTTAGATCGATATACATTCGAGCTGACCAAAATAATCAGAATGAATTAGAAATAATAAATGATACAGGAAATTCAAATAGTTTAGATTACATTAATGAAAGCCTTTAATCATTACCCAGAAAATGACAGGCTTTCAAGAAAAATTTTACAAAAGATATACAATTACTTTCCAAAATAGGTAGTTTTAATATTCATAAAGTAAGGTTATATACTGATTTTTGTGGTGAGAATGGTGCATAGTGGTGGAGTAGAAAGTACCCTATTCATATTTAGTACCGTATGCATATTTAATTCAATATTTTAAAGGAGGAGAGAACAAACAAAAACAAATCTATCTGCTGTGTAGAAAACCAATTATAAAATATATATGAACTAGTTAAAAAAAATTGTTTCTAAGAAGTTAATTTAGCAGGCTGGCAGGTTAGCTCAGTTGGTTAAGGCATGGTGCTAACACCAGGGTCCAGGGTTCAATCCCTGCACTAGCCAGCTGCAAAAAAAAAAAAAAAAAAAAAATCAGTTTAGCCGAATAAACATCTGTTGTATAATATGCATTAACTGGCAAACTAAAATTAGGTTACTGAAGGAGAAATGTCCTTTTTAAAAAAATGACAGACAGCTCAATCAAGGATATTAGAATATGTATAAAGCTTAAAAAGTCATATGAACATAAGAAATTAAGAGGGTCTAAAAGACATCAAATAACTTCTTGGAATAGATTGCAAAATTAGTAAAGATTCATAAAATACAACAATGAGAAAGATAGCCAGAAAATCAGTAAGAGCACTCCATCAATACATACCTGGAGTAAACAAACTGTTAAGATCTCGTATGATGGCTCTGAAAGAAGGCCTAAAATCTGGTTCATAATCCATACAATTATTTATAAGGTTTGCTAATTCTGTCCACTTTGGGGCAGGAAGCTGGTGTCTATCTTCATAAAACTGTAGCTTCTATAATTAAAGAACCACAATGTGAGAATAAATTGTTTAATGTCAGACCAATCTTCTTTTTAACATTAGATAGGCTACAAAATATCAAATCATGTAAAAGAAATAGGGAGGATCACAGAAAGAGTAATTCTAACTTCATAGTCTATATAAACTTACCCTTTGAGAATCCAGAGCACTCAGAGGCTTATCTCCTCCACTGCAGATTTCCCACAAAGTGGTACCAAAACTCCATTTGTCTGTTGCCAAATTTAGATTTTTAGGATTTTCAATGCATTCAGGTGGTACCCATGGTATTCTCTCTTGAAGAACTTTTAAATGATAGAAACAAAGTATAGTTAAAAAATCCCCACAAGAAAACCATTCTTTTATATACAAAAAGTTTTTAAAATTATTTGAATAACCAAGTCTTTTTTGTTTGTTTTGGGGTGAGCGTATGTGGATGTGTGCATGTTTGCATAAGCTTAAGAGCTAGAAGGGACTTTTGAGATAATCTAATTTGATATCGCAGCTTTAACAATGACAACACTGAGACCCACAAAGATTGAGTAATTTGCCCAAAGTCACACAGTTTTTTAGCAGCATGGACAGAATTAAAATCCTGTACAATCAATTCTAGAACAACTAAACTTCTTTTCTTTCTATTAAACCATAGTGTGTCAACTATCATACCACTTTCTCTACCTCTTCCCATTAGTTCTGTCTTCCCCCAATTTTTTTTCTATAAAATATATCCCCAAGTTGCCTCTTGATATTTTTTCCTATTTCTTTACAATGTGTAAGTAGTAAAGATAATGTTGGTTCATTCAGACTTGTTCTTATGATTTAATAGCAGTGGCATTCTCACTTGCAGATGTAAAAACAAGAATAGGCATTTATCATTATGGCAGATGGATGACTAAATTATACCAAGATATTCTAGGTATGAAATTGATACAAGTGGGTTCTGCTCAGATCATGGAATCTCCTAAGTGAAGTTTCTGTGGTCTCTGACCCCACCAGAAAGACGGTATTCAAGGAAGAAGGAAGCAGTCTAACTCCACTTTCTGGTATTCTGACATGATAGATTGATTGATAGATAGATAGATAGATAGATAGATAGATAGATAGATAGATAGATAGATAGACAGACAGACAGACAGACAGAGACAGACAGACAAGAATGAAGACTAATCTGTTGCATTTTTTGGTATATTTTGTTAAAGCAATGTGAGTATTTTGCTGTATAATCAGGAGAATAAGGAAGATATTGGTTCCTTTCTCCTTCAACATATGAATACATTTTCACCATCATCACCTTCCATTACAGAGGGTAAAATTTCCTTGAGTACAAGATCTAAGACTCTGTAAGATTTTTTGCCCCATGCTACTACCCTATTATCACTATCTTCACTGTCAGATGAGCCATCATGTATAAGTATTATTGGCTCAAATGGGGTACTATACATCAATGCACAAAATTGATCAACTTAGAGTCTAAATTTAGAACATTCAGTTCGAGAAATTAGCTGAGATAATCAAATACAATTATAACATTATCTGAACCCAAAACACCCCTCTCAACTATTTGGCTAAAAATTTTTCCTGTTAACTTATTGTGTTAAATAGAAGATTAACAGACACAAAAGAAAGTTTTTAAAAAGCCAGAGAGTTAGCTGAATAATTACACTAAATAAAATCTCAAGCTACATTATATCATCTCAAATTTTTATTTAATGACTAGAGGAAAGAAAAATTTAGAATAGTTATTTGTGGCTCAAAGAATGATATTAGAAAATTTTGCATTAAAAAACAGATAAAATCCTATCTTCCATAAATAATTAGAGATTAAAGGTATTTTTAAAAATCATCTCACAGTCCATAGTAACATTCTTAAAAGAACGAAGAAATGGACAGAAACTAGCATGTAACTGTAACTTAAATTGCTAAAAGTGATAGCTAAATTTTATTACTAATCAAGAATATATCAATAAAATTGAGTTCGGGAAAATTAACAACATGCTTTTTATGCTACTACCCAAACAATGCTTAATAAAATTAAGTGCAATCCCTGTAGAACTTACTGTCCTTTGGCAATACTGTAATACTAATGCCAGGATCACTAAGTTTGATGAAAGGAGGATTTCCTGTCTTCCTGTCTTCTTCTCTAATAAGTAGAATGTTTTTGGCACACACATTCCCATGAATAAGGGTTTTTTCTTCCTATTAAAGTTAAATGCACATATATTCAAATATTAATACACAAATATTTGAGCATTTAATACATTCAGGGCCCCAAAATAGATGTGAAGAAAAAAATGTGACAGTATAATAAATATTAATTTGGAGGCATGCGTTGAGATAGTAAAAGGAAATTTTATGACTACTCACCGTGCTTCCTATCTTACATTTTAAATGACACAATAACCTATATTCATGATGAAATGAATACGTTAAACAAAACTACCCAGTGCCACTTTATTTTCTAAAGCTGAAATTCTAAGTGGTAGGTATTTCTAGGTGGTAGCTAAAGTTAAGAAATATTGTTTCAGTTCAGCAGTGGGACATAGGTGCACTCTGAGGGGTCTGATCACTGGTTGGCCCTCTTCTGCTTCTGTCAACACTGCTTTCTCAGTGAACATAATGACGTTTGCATGGTACTTTCTGCTATCCATAGCAGTATCACATGTTTCTGCATAATTCTTGGTTAAATTTTCTAAACCCAAGTGACACAAACTACAGATTGTCCATCAGCAGTTCTAAGAGATTGACGGGATGACAAAATCATTTCTTTCAAAAGTGATTTTTGCATAAATAAACATATGCCTAAAATAATCTCTTTCATCATCTAACAGATTATTTTAAATGACTTGGCATCCACTTACAGATTTATTTCTTGTTTCCAAATCAACATAATTTCTACATTCCTTCATAAGAAAAAACAGTAAGTTTTGATAAAAAGAATATACTAATTACTTACTAGAAAATGCATGGCCCATGCCAACTGTTTAGACACTTCAAGTTTCCATAATATATTTATAGAATTTTTATTCTTTTTCAGATATGTATCTAGTGATCCAAATTTTACAAACTCCTGAACCAGAATATCTGCATTAAAATATAAATAATAATAAGGCTCAAGTATACATACAATTAAATATATATAATTTGGGCTTTTATGAAAATATTTATAGTTATATGTGGGTATTATAGGTAAAAAATTAAATTAATTAAGATAAATCCAATAATTTAAAGAAAACTTAATGGATATACACCATAAAATTTTTTGTTTTTAGTTTATTTACAACAGCAAGAGGTAGGAGTCTAAACAATTATATATATATGAGTATTATAATATGTGATATATAATACTATGTAATATAAAATATGTAATACATAAGACATGCTTTACAATATTATATAATATTACTCCGAAGCACCTGTATGTATTAGTTTTGAATTATGGCTGCCTCTTGAAATAAATGAAAATTTCTCACATAGTTAATTTTTCTTCCATAAGATATTTAGACATTCAACCCTTCCTGAAGTCCTTTGTCAATACACAAAAATTAATAGCAATGTTTACTCTATTATAGGCATAAGGGAGAATTTGAGCTCTAACTCCATTTATCCGTTAAATTTATACTACAAAAAAGCAAAAATGAGTGTTTTGCAACTGGTTTATCTTTAAAATTATTTATTTATTTATTTTTTTGTCTTTTTTCGTGTCCGGCAACAGATCGCAACCCTCAGTGAACAAAAAAGCAAAAATGAGTGTTTTGCAACTGGTTTATCTTTAAAATTATTTATTTATTTATTTTTTTGTCTTTTTTCGTGTCCAGCAACAGATCGCAACCCTCAGTGTCGCGCCCGTACCGGACCGGGACCAGCAACGGGATCGCAACCCTCGGTGTTGCACCCGCACCTCGCTCAGCCAGTGAGCGGGAACCGGTCTGTATGTGGGATCCGAACCCTCGGCGGGAGTGCCGCCGCACTCCCAAGCAGCGCACCGTAGCAGTGCGCCACCGGGCCGGCCCTATCTTTAAAATTATTTTAAAAAATACTATTAATACATATTTTGCCAGACAAAAACAGGTGCTTGTTTCCAAAACCAATCCTGGCTGCCTTTGAGATTACATTAGGTTATGAGAAACATCAATAAATAAGAGACAGAGAGAGAGAGAACTGCTCTGGTAAGAGGTAAACAGGCAGAACTCCCCACTACTGCATTTAGATTTATTCTCACTTTCTCAGTACCCATAGTGGCCTCTGAGATACATCCATAGAACAGGTTTGAAAACAACTGCCTTTGAAAAGACTATCAATTTACAAAATACAAAGAAATCTTATATAAATATGGATGTTTTTAATCTACATTATTAATGGAAAATGGGAAATTACATAAATTATAAAAAACCTTCTGAATGTAAACTTTGTGAGGCACTAAAATATACTACTGAAGCATTTGCACCTTTGGTAGTTTGTATGAACTAAATTTAGCCAAATAATACATTTAGTATCAACATCCAATCATTTCAGTCATTTCCACTACAAATTCAGTCAATCATTTATATGCTTAGTCTTCATAATGCCAAATAAGTTTGTCCTGAAAGAGCCAGTTGTTCCAATATTATATTAAACCAGCCATAATCTCTATTGCTACGGTGAATACAAAAGTTTATATTTGTTTACTATAATACTCTTTTTTGGGCATTGTAACATAAGGCATATTAGCTATCTTCTGCATTTTAACTTCATTCATCGGTTTCCTTTTTCACAAAATATAACTGATCAGTCCCAGAATGTTTTCATTTTCAATAATATTCAACTCCTATTAAATTATGGTTTATACTGACAACTGTGATCCTGAAATCGAATTTTCTGTATAAATAACAATGAATGCTCTGAGAAAGGCATGACATTAACATAAGAAAGCCTGTGGTTTTACTTACTCTCCTCTCCACAGACACATACTCCATAATTTAAAACCAGATGCTTGTGAGAAAGCTGGCTCATCATGCTTGCTGCTTCAAAGAAAGACTAAGGAAAAGAAAAACCAATAAAAAATGCAAAAGAATTACTGTTTGACTGTTGTCCATAACTCTCTGCCATTAGAGAAATGTATTTTCTCCTACTCTCAGCAGGACTATAGTAAGGTTGCAATTTGCTTTGGTCACCTTACATGGAGTTGCAACTGCCATCAACCTTGGTGTTAGAATTCATTCTGAGGAAACTCCTGAGTAAGCTGGAATATGGAAATAGCAAAGAGAGAGAAAAGTAGTGGTATAGGACACCATAAATGGTGCAAGTCAAACAGGCTTAGGCCCTTTACATCTAGAACAGAGAAGTACAACTACAGGTTGACACCAGACATAGTGATATGACACTGACTTAGATGTATGCAAGCCTTAAATAACACCTCCTAAAAAAGTAAGAATGGTCTCTGTGCAGGTAAAATATACAACACCCATGTCAGGATACTGGCATGGTATTAACATCACTCTAATTCAACTAAACTTTGACTGGAACTTCTGGGTATGGTTGTTCAGAGGATCATGATCACTAACACTGTGGTGTTCTGGATTAGATGTTTTGCTTGTATGTTTCACATTATCTTCTACTAACATTCTTTAAGACTTTTAAAGTATCATAAATGTGTGTTTTGTCATGTTTGGTGATGTCTTGCTATGCTCGGGGCTCTGTCAACTGGCTGCTGGGTTTCTGCCACCCGGCATCTCTGGGTGATGCCCAAAGGTATCCATATTTCACTCAGTGTTCCTTAGTACAGTGTCTTTCAAACCTTTTTTTTTTTAAGTAAATGAAATTGTGGAGGAACCGCTGTGGAACCCATAAAGCTCTGGGGATCCAAATTTAAAAACCACTGCCTCAGTATATGTGGAGATGTAATACCCATAACATAATGCTAGAAGTAATTAGTTTGAAAATAAGTTATTATTTTAAAAATCCTATAATTTTCTATAGTTCCACCAGAATGCATCCTCAGAAAGGTCCTTGACATTATACACTTTTTTAAATTACAATTTTCAAAAGCTTCATGCATGAATATTGTGTGTGCATATGAGAGCACATCTTTAAATAGCATTAACTGCAAGAACTACAGAAAGAGTATACATACCTCTGAATAGTTTCTATGTGCTTTATCCAGAACTTTTAAAAGAACTTCTGTTTCATGCAGTTGACCATAGTCTCCTACTTCTCTTCTTACACCTTTAAAAATTTTTGTAAAAGTGCCTTGGCCAAGGCTTTCATTCTTTAAAAGAAAAAAAGTTAAGAGAAAATAATAAAGATGGAGAAAGAGGTGGGAATTAGGGAATAGGTTCAAAGACAAAGATTAAAAAAAAAAATCCATGAGCAAAAATCTCCCTTACAAACTAAACCCAGATTTAAGATTCCAATTAATTCTTCTATTTGGCTTCCTTAAATAGTAATAAAAGACAGAAAACAAGGTTTAATGAATAAAGTTTATTTTGGCTGCACCCCTGTTTTTAAACCTCCTGAATTGACTATAATTATCACTGTTTATAGAGTCAGTGTCTACCTACATTTATTTACATGTGTACCTTTTTCTGTTTGCCTTTCCTACTAGTGCAATAGAAAGGCAGTACAGTGTGGTCTGTGGAGACAGAACGTCTGATTTATTCCTTATTACCACTTATTAGTTGTGTGACCTTGTACAGGCTATTTAATCTCTCTGTGCTGCAACTGTCTTAGTTTCTTCATCTGAGGAATTGTTACAAACAATAAGTGAATAAAAAATGAAAGCACTTAGTACAGTCCATGACAGACAATAAATGGACATTAAGTATTAGCTATTACTACCAGTACTAGTATTTCTTGCAATGTCCTTACAGAATAATTGTTGAAAGGCTGCACTCTAAAGTGGGGCTGCCTGTGTTCAAATCCAAGTTCTAGTACATGTTAGTTTTGTAACGTTAGTCAAGTTACCTGGCCACTCTGTGCTTCCTGTTACTCACATAAGGATTCATGTCTTTACAATTCTGTATTATTCTTTCTATTGTCTCCTTATGGAACTCAGACATTAGTTGGTTTCTCTCATTCTACCCTCCATGTCCCCTAATCTCTCTTTCACAATTTCTGTTTCTTTCTCCCTATCTGCTGCATCCTGAATAATTTCTTCAGATCTATTTTCCAATTCACTAATTCTCTCTACAGCTATAAATAATTTGCTTTGTAATCTGTCCATTTTGTTTTAAAGTCAATGAGCACATTTTTCATTTTTGTGCTTTTTTCCCCAAAATATTTTTGGTCTTTTAAAATAATGTTTTGTTATTTTCCCATGTTTTCAACTCCTTTTTTATTTTTAAACATATATATGCCTTTTATAGTCTCTATTTGGAAATAATGAAGTTCCTGGAGGTCTAATTTCAATGTTTGTTGGTCTGCTGACTCTTGCTTAACCCTGGATTACTTCCTTGTATGTTTCCAAAGTTTTGATTGAAAGCTCATGTTTGAAGTGGCTTTATCTGTAGGAATCCTGGATGGCCTAGGTCAGGAGTATGTTCTTCCCAAAAGATTTTGTATTTGCTTCTCCCAAAGCACCAGAGGATATTTGGGAAGTACCACTTTTAATTTACTGGCTTAAAGTTTCTCAGACCATGCAGGTAGTACGAAGAAACCCAAATTCAAAAGCTTATGATTACAAATTCTTAGAAGAGACTCCTTTTCCTCACAAAGAGCCCAACTAGAACTGACAATGTTCCTTTTCTTCTCCTTTTGCTGGTGTGTGAATTTTTCACATTCTCTATATTGTTTTACTGAGGATATATTTACTTGGGGGTCCTGGCTTTATTCAGGAATGGTTTCACTTTTAACTCCGGGCCTTCAGCTGGCCTAAGACCTAGCCCTCTGGTTTGTATTGCTTTTAAACCTTAATTCCCTTGATAAGTAAGACTAATTCACACCCTCCAACATCATCTAGCAGCCAAATCATCAGCTTGATTGAGAGGTTGGTACAGCTTTGTTTGCAGTTCCTGCTTTATTTTTAACCCTTTAAATTTCTCTTAGTTTCCTGAGAACTTGAGGTTTAAGATATAGATCTTTTGTAAAAAAATATTTTTAATTATTAATTTAAAATTTGGAAAGAAATATTTTTAAATTTTTGAAAAGAAAATATTTCATTCTTAAAATAATTTTGCTAATTTCTAACACAAAGCTGATATGTTTCATAATAAATAATAATATTTAAATTATAACTAGACTTTTACAATATAGATTATAACAAAATAGTTCCACCAAATGTCACGTAAATGTAATTTGTGGTAGGAAATCAAAAAAACAAATACTGTTTTAAAAAGACAAAAAAGACCGTAATTAGTATCGAATGACTCACAAATATCAAATCTTCATTTCTAATTTTGTGAAACACCATTTGGTTCACATTATTATGCCTCTGTAACGTTGGTGAGGTTGGTACATCAGAAACACCATTGGTTCTGAAGACTAGAAGGTTTGATTTATCTGGGGAAAAAAAAAAATCCACAAATGAATACATAGGTGTGTGTGTGTGTGTGTTATCATCAAAACACATTAAAGATATGAACTGCTCCAAAAGAAGTATCCACAAATGAATACATAGGTGTGTGTGTGTGTGTGTGTTATCATCAAAACACATTAAAGATATGAACTGCTCCAAAAGAAGTAAAATTAAATGTGTTCTCTATATAAAAAATGCTTAGTAACCACTTATTGTTCACTTTTTTCACAGAAAATTATTTTAGGGGTTTATTCATTGAACTTTGATGTATTCTTATCAGTTATTTCATACATTAAAAACTATAATTATTTTGTTAACTAAGAAAACTTTTTCAGGAATTTTAATCATTTTTAATAATAAGACTGTTATTATTTCAAGGAATTTCCAAACTTACTACCTTTATTTTTAAAATACAGAAATTAAAATCCTGTCTATGGCCATACCACCCTGAATCTGCCAATCTCGTCTGATCTCAGAAGCTAAGCAAGGTTGGGCCTCATTAGTACTTGGGTGAGAGAAATTAAAATCCAAAAAGAGTATAAAAGTTTTTACTTAAGACAACATGAGAATATGGTGGCGAGGTCATCCAGTTCAATAAATAAGTGACTGATTTATTCTAAGCAATTATTACCTTTAAAATGCCATTTTAGAATAATAAAACTTCAAGTCACTTCTAGATGGCCCAAAACAAACTGAACAATACTAATTGATGATGCTTGTACAACAGAATAAGACAAAATTAGTTTTTGGAGCTGATTTTTTCATATTCTTTTGAAATCATTGTATTGAAGATACCTCCTAGCACATACACAATCTATGACCAGTATTTTTTAAATTACTAGAAAATTATTTTACCTTTTGGCTTTGGAGGACAGCATTTAGTAAACTGGAAAATTATACTGTCTGAGCGAACAGTTTCCATCTGGTAGCAATTCAAAAGATCTTTAAGATTACTGAAGTTCTTCTTAGTCCCACTGAGGTTGTACTCTCCATTCTCATTTTTTATAATCAAACAGTGTTTATATTCAATGACATTTTCTCGCTATATAAATTTAATTACAAAGAGAGGGAGAGATAATTACAATGGACATCACAGTGATTATTCTGACAAAAGGGATATCACAAAAACAACCAGTAGGATAGACATTTAACTGTGAATCCCAATGTACTGCTTCTATAGTGACAGAAGTGCTTGGTTCCTCAAAAAGGCACCTGATTGCAATTTAGTAGCCTACAGAAGTGGCTTAAGAGTTGATTTTTATTAAAAAGCAAGTAAGAAAGAAATGAAAATTAGCAATAATAATACCATCCTTAATAGCTTTCCATCATTTACATGATAAATTCTAAAACTAGAGTAGCATATAGGGCCTTCCATGAGCTGGTTTCTGCCTCCATCTCCAACTATGGCTACTGCTGCTTCCAACATACAACCTCTGTTCCAGCCATACAAAATGACTTAAATAATTTCAAGCAAATGCCATGCTGTTTCATGCCTTCATAATTGTACATGCCACCTCTCTACCTATGAATGAACACCCCTCCTTCTGAGCAATGAAATTTTATTCATTCCTTACAACAGTTCGAGTACCACTTTTTCTGTAATGTCTTCTCTAAAAACACCCATTCCACAAGCAAAGGTGAATACCCATTCCATTGTATAACTATTGTATAGTTTTCTCTAATATGATATTTTTAATATTTTCTGTTTTTTAATATTTGTCTTCTGCACTGTTCTAAGAACTTGTTCATTCACCTAACTAGTTTTGAGCTGACTTTTGTAAGCATATTCATCCTACAAAGAACCAATTTATAAAAAATACACTCATACCTCAAGGTCAATCTCAAGTCCTTCCTATGCCAAAAGATTTTTTTTTAATAACTGCAATCCTTTCTTCTATTGTCTATATTGCCTAAATAGATAATTGCAATGCTCAATTTAGTATTTTTTTGGTATACTTTTTAATTTTTGATTTCCAAAAGATGAGTTTCTTGAAGGTAGAGCTATATCATACACTCCCTAATACATAGCCCTCATATCAGAGCCCGCAAGTACAGTAAACATAAAAAAAACCATGTTGAATTGTTGAATAGAATGGACTGTTACGGGCCGGCCCGGTGGCGCACTGGATAGTGCGCCGCTTGGGAAGCGCGACAGTGCTCCCGTCTGAGGGTTCGGATCCCACGTGCAGACCGGCTCCCGCTCACTGGCTGAGCGAGGCGTAGGAGCAACACCGAGGCTTGCAATCCCGTTGCCGGTCCCGGTCCGGTACGGGGGCAACACTGAGGGTTGCGATCCGTTGCCGGACACGGAAAAAAGACAAAAGACAAAAAAAAAAAAAAAAAAAAGAATGGACTGTTACATGTTATAGCAAGAAGATACGATCAAATTAGGATAGATTACCAGTTTTATACAATGGTAAAGTGATGGAGTAACCCACCTTCTCTATTTATAAACAACCACTCTATACACATGCTAAATATAAGATCGTTCTATTCTATAAAAATTAAAATAATTGAATAACAAAATCCTTACTTTCTCAATTTTTAAAAAGTAAGATAAATTGGGAAGTTTCTATAAAGTTTTTCAAGATTTACAGCACAGAATTGCCTTATAAATGATAGAATTATTTTAGATAATTTTGGATAGTAAATAAACGAGATCCAAGATTATCTGTATTAACAATGAGGTTTCACTGCAGTTTTACACTTAAGATATACATTGTAGATCATTATTCTCAATATTGAAAAATCACTAGTTAAAATGCTACAATGTTTCTGTTTATTTTATTGCCCTATTTTGCTTTAATTCTGTAACCATTGTTAGTAAATAGAAAATCTGTATTTGATTTATTTTGTTCTGCATAATTTGGTAAAGATTTTCATTTTTCTGAAAAAAGAGACTTCAAGAGACTTCATGAAATACCATTTTGACATACTGGTAACACCCAAACATCAAAAAATAAAATACGTAAATGACAAATAAGAAGATAGAAAGACACTATAAATAATTTTATATTTTTATATAAACTCTAGGAATTATATCTTGTTTAGTTGTGTAGAATCCATTGTTACTACGCTAGTTAACATATCTAGAGCTATAACTGAGTATTAAAAAGGAAATATGGTAGATAAATATGAAGAGGAAATTATATGGACTAAATAAAGTATTACCATTAATAAATGTGACATACTAACCTCAACAGCAAAGGTCAGAAGATATTTATTAAAGTCCTTAGGACTGCATCGAAGTACATACAGTCCAGTCTGATTACCTGCTTTCTTCAGTTTACTGATGGCAAAGTCCATTCTAAAAGAAAAGAAGTAATTTGAATGGTAACATAGCAAGTACCATGATAATATAACCAAATGCCATCTAAATAAATCAAAAGTCAAATCGAAAACTCTCAGAATTTTTGAAGTCTCCCCTACCTTATATGTTTATCAAAAATCTTTCAAGGGAAAACAATCAAGCTATCAAGCTATTTTTCAGTGAGTTCAAATCAATTCAAGAGGCAATTATATTGCTTTAAAAACATTCAAAAGGTATTAAGATACAAACAAAATCACAAAGAATAGTTCATTCATTTAAATTTTCTGCCTTTTGATTATAAATTTAGTCTTTTACGAACCATACTAACTCTCATAAAACTTCATTTAACCATGAAAACAATATATTAGAAAAAACTTCTTATTTCTCTTCTACCTTAGCAGTTACCAATATAAAAATTTATGTGCATTATTTTAATATTTAGTATAATACCAAAGTCAAATAGAAGACTCATGGAAAATGACACTCAACCGATTTAAAAAATTTGCTATGTGTTTATTAAGGATGCACTTCTTGAAAGAAAAGCAAAATATAATCTGTATAAAGGCAGGAACAATTTCTGTTTCTCTTATTACCATGTTTCTCATACATAAACCAGTGCCTACACATAGTAGGTACTAAGTAAATATTCTATAAATAAAAGAATGCTTGAAAGAATGGATGAGTGAACAAATGAATAAATGGTAGGAGTTTTAAAAATACTGAACACGTAAATTGCAGACAATGTCCAAGTCATGCAATTTTTTCATAATAATCATACTTATCACTAAATAGACAAGAAGTATAGCTTGAATCAAGTCTTAAATATTACCCATGATATATTTTTCCAAATATTTAGGGTGAAACACATGCCTACAATCCCAGATTTTTCTCCTGCTCAGGTTCTTAAAAGCTGGTGTCAATAACAAAGCACATCCTAGCTGAGAGATAACTAGGACTTGGGCTAAACAGATGTTATACACGATTAACTGGCTTCACCCAGTATTAATGTAAGGGTCTACAACATTAAAACAACATTTAGTGTGGTTCTGAATGGTAGTTACTACCCACATGTAGCCATTTAACTTTAAAGAAATTAAAATTAAGTAAAATTTCAGTTCCTCAGTTTCACTAGTCACATTTCAAATACTAAATAGCCACATGTAGCTAGTGGTTACTGTATTAAATGGCACAGATATAGAACATTTTCAACACTGCAGAAAGTTCTAGTACACAGCACTAGTCTAGAAATAGGCACATTATATACATCTTATGGTTCGAAGGTTTCAGTAGAAGAAACTGAATTATCCACAAATAATGACAATTTTCAAAGTTTGCACTTTGGCTCCTTTGCAGTATTTCAAAATTAATGAAACATAAATTGGAGATCTTTTTTCTCAAGTAACACCCAAGAGTTAGTTAATCATGGATAGGCAACTAAATGTTAATCTTGTATAACAAGTTATAAGTATTGCAGATGGGGACACAGATGATAAATTATATCCTAATATCCTAAATAATTCTAGATACTATGTAATCTGATTGCAAATAGACTTTTATTAAAAAAAAAAACAAAAAACTTTAGTCAAATTAAGAAAATATTTTTTTCTAAATTCCTAAACCTATATATATCACTCTGTTGTATAAAATCTTCTTTATAAATACATTATTTTGTTTTTAAAAATTTACTTTTATAGTCTGTATTACTCACGAAATTGGTCCATGACAGTTGCTGTGTATATTTTCAAGCACTGTTGGAGGTGCTACTTCTTTACAAAGGTAATGATGTGCATCTGCAGTTAACCTATAATATCCATCAATCAATGACACAAAAGACAAAGCTTCTCTTAATGAGCTAAGTTCAATTTCCTAAGCAGAGAAAAGAAAAAGAAACAGTAGGTATCTTTTAAAAAGTCAATTTAAAAGTGCTAATATTAAAAATCCTCTTCACTCCATGTTGTTAGATTAATTCTCCTAAAATTAATTTTCTTCTAAACTGCTCAAATGTCTTTTATGGCTCCCAATTACTCAATTTGAATTTCAAATTCTTATGCCTGATATTTAAGATCTTCCTGAATATGGGCTTCTTATGCCTTTCCAATTATAGTTCATCATACATTCATAATTTTTTTTTTCCTTTTTGTCTTTTTTCGTGACCAGCAACGGATCGCAACCCTCAGTG